TAGACTGATGTTTTATTTGGTCTTAATAGTTTCCCCTTCATAAAGAGATATCCCATCTGGTCTAATTTTAAACCGTCTGTAACATGCAGCCTTTCATAATTTTCTCCGCAGTGAAGTTACATTTAGCTTGTTTGGCTAATTCAAAGTGATGGACCCAAAGGAAATCGAATTACACAAAACTAATTATCTATTGGATCTGGTGTTGTATGTGGCCGCAATCTTGGTATGGTTTTTATCCAGCAGTCTTTAGCAGCATATGTAGATTATAATCACACTGTCTTGTAGCGACTAAAGGGGAACTTGTTTATAGTTAGTTAATTAGTTATTTTACATCTAATTATAATTAGTTATAATTATAACCCCATAATTAGTTATAATCGTGGTCATATTTGTAAAATGCACAGACAACTAGTACTCCATATTGCATATCTCTTTGAAATCATAATAATTTTTTTCCCCTTGTAATTGTCCATCTACATATCTGCACTACCAGAAAACTGATGTAATACCTTTGAAAGTGCTGAGCATTTGTAATCAATAAATAACAATTTATTGCAGTTCCAGTTCTTTCTAAAGCACACGCATATTTTGGCTCAGCATAAATGATGTAAATAAGAAGAGTTTTTGTGGTACAGCAAACATAGCTGAAATATTAATACTTAACATGCAACTAATTTCTAACATTGACGTGAGAATATTAGGGAATTTTTTACATGTGAAATGAGTGAAATTCATCACTGAAAAAAAAAGTAAAATTTGCTTAATTTTTCTTTTGCATGTTTTTGCACACACACATATTTTTTAAGTAAATTTAAGCATGGCATTAAGTCAAATCTACTTAACTAAGTTATGTAAAATTATCAAAGAGAATAAGTACATTTAACTTGGCCAGTTAGAGTTTGTTAAGTAATTTCTATTCAATCATTTGAAGTTTACTCTGCAATATTAAAGTACTAAAGTACATCTTACTCAATCATTGTTTGTAAACTTTACTCTACATCGTAGCACTGTAAAAAAAAACATGCTTTTAAACATGCTTTTTTATGCTCATAAAACAGTGTCAATACAACTCAAAAACAGTGAAAAATTAAACCTTATTAGTTATTCATGTCCCAGTGAATAATGGGCACACCAGTATCATACCTTTGATATTTACTCAAATAATCTTTGTAAACATACACAATTCCAAGTAAAATATACTTTAATTTCTACAAGCTTGAACTGAGTACTGATATAGAATGTACTCGTTTTTTTCAGGCAAAATTCAGGCAAACTCCTGCCTGAACTAAATTATTTAATGTAGACATTACATTTGTTTTCCCCTAGTATTTACTTCACCACAGAATACATTTTTATCAGTGATTATTCTTTAATTCAGATCATTCTAAATAAGTTCAGTTGGATTCAATTTAGTTCAGTTTCCATCAGTTCAGTTCAAATGTATACTTGAATATAATGTTTTTTTTTTTTGTATAGCATGTTCCTTAGAGGCACAGTGGAAGGAGCATACTGCAATTCATAACTTGGGTGTTCAGTTTGAGTATTACAGATTTAATGTCTCCGGTGTGTGAGCCAGTCATCTTGACTTATTTTTGTAGGCCAAACCAAAAGCTTATTTTATCGGATTTTAGATTATTGCAGAAATGGAAAAACATGAAAAATCTTTTATTAATTTTGAAACCTAAATACGATTGTCAGTAGTAAAAAAGTGTCTCGGTTACATATGTAACCCTCGTTCCCTGAAGGAGGTAACGGAGACTTCACATCGGATGACCGACGAATTGGGATCTTGCTTAGAGAGATCTATTTTGAGTGTAACAAAACGAGCCAATGCACATTGGCATGCAATTATTGCATCCAGCTGCCGCTGATCACAGCGCGAGTATAATTAGGCAGCTGGTGCAGCGCTTATTTAGGTTTTCGCTGAGGAGCCGAGCCGGTGACCCGACCGCTCAGCCGTGGTACAGAAGCTGTGGCGACGGGACGTGACGTCTCCGTTCCCTCCTTCAGGGAACGAGGGTTACATATGTAACTGATACGTTCCCTTTCAGTCGGTCACTCTCAACGTCACGTCGGATGACCGACGAATTGGGATCCCTAACAAAGGGCCACAGATACTGCCCCTTCCAGTGTCCTGTGGAAGCCTCCTGCACCCCTTTTTTTTGGGTGCTGAAGTGGTCTCATATGAAGCAGCCCCATGCCGCTGCAGCTGCCATGTGCCCCAGGAGCCTCTAAAAATGTTTCAGTGGAACCGCCATCCTGCTCTTGAATGTATTCAGGGTGGTGTATATAGGGTGGTGAGGGAGGATGAGCCACTGAGGCGGTTTCTGGCAGTGAAAGGTGCCGTCCACGACCCAGTGAGCTCATCATACACCTCCAGGAAGAAAGGCACTGGGATGGGGCCCTGAGAACCAGCGCGAACCACCCCGAGAAAGCAATCATCCAGCCTCGAGGGTTCGGGACGCGGTGGAGGTTTCCACTCGAGCTCGATCCTCTCGGCGGCCCGAGCAAGCATAGCCACCATTTCCGTATCCATATCCGGCATTGCTGGCCGCCCAGAAGGTGGCAGCGCTGCCGGATCATCATCTCCAGAAAGGTCTGGCTCACTCTCCGATGCAGCGATCAACATCCGATCGTCGGGGGGAGCACCGAAGGATACAAGTGGTACCCCACAAGAGGGTCCAGCCTGTTCTTTCGGTGGCTCCACTGTCTGCGAAGTGCCGGTGGAAGGAGGAGCCCTCGGAGGGGAATTCCTCACCGTCACTGTAAGACCAGTCCGGCTACTGCCAGAAGTAGCGTCACCCGGCGGGCCGCCAAGGGGAGGCCTAGATCTAGGCTGCTGGAAACGGAGCCTGGTCCACAACTCCGCTACGGTCATTCTCCCGCAATGGGAACATGACTCATTCGCGAACGCCACCTCAGCGTGTTTAATGCCCAGACATGTGAGGCAGCGATCATGACCATAATGATCGCATCCAGAAATGCACGGGTGGAAAGGCATCTTTAAAAAGATGTCCACCCGTGAATGCTCTTTTAGAGTTTGCTCTTTTAGAATTTGCTCTTTTAGTGTGCTGAAGTGCACAGGGGAGATGTCCGCCTGCAACACAAACAGGGGATAGTGCAGCCTGATGTGTGCAACCCACTCGACACAGGAAGAACCACTGCCGCTGAAGCGCCGTACCACCAGCACCAGAGCTTACTAGAGTGTGCTGAACTCGTTGAGTTTCTCTGAAGCAGTAGTCAGGAGCAGAACGAAACAATCGCTCGGCTCTGAAGCGAAAAGCTGAGTATGCGCTGCACCAGCTGCCTACTTATACTCACACTTTGGTCAGCAGCAGCTGGATGCAATAATCGCATGCCAATGTGCATTGGCTCATTTAGTTACACTCGAAGTAGATTAGTCTCTCCAAGCGAGATCCCAATTCGTCGGTCATCCGACGTGACGTCGAGAGTGACCGACTGAAAGGAACTTTAGTTAGGCTATAAATAAATTATTAAACGGCAGAGGTGTAAAGTGTACCTGAAAACCATACTTGAGTAAAAGTACAGATACATTACAACAAAAATGATTCCATTACAAGTTACAAGCCACCAATTCCAATACATCTGGAGTAAAAGTCTTAGAGCAGGGCTGTCCAAACTCGGTCCTGGAGGGCCGGTGTCCTGCAGAGTTTAGCTCCAACTTGCCTCAACACACCTGACTTTAAGTTTCTATGCCTAGTAAGAGCTTGATTAGCTGGTTCAGGTGTGTTTAATTAGGGTTGGAGCTAAACTCTGCCAGACACCGGCCCTCCAGGACCGAGTTTGGACAGCCCTGTCTTAGAGTATCTGATTTTAACAGTACTTAAGTATTTTACTCGTACTGAATATAGGCTCAATAAACCAACATAAGCCTACAAAAATCAAGTAAACCAATATCCTTCAAAAAGGTCTCAGCCGTGTCCTCATCTCATATATGAAAAACCTGCGAGTCACATACCTGCTAATATGTGTAAAGTAGCCTTGTTGACAAGTTTGAGTGAGTAAGGCAAGACGTCCTGTAGATGGTGATATTATTTCTTTAGTAGCAGAAATAAACTGCTGTAGAAAAAGTTAGGTGCCATGTGAAATGTAACTAGTAATTTCATTAGTCATCACAAATGTAGTGGAGTAAAGCGTACTTTATGTATTTATTAAAAAATGTAGTCAAGTAGAGAGTAAATGTTGCTAATATATTTTGGAAAAATATATACTCAGTAAAACTACAAAGAAGCCAAAAAGATGCTTAAGTACAGTAACTAAATACATTTTCTCAAATACTATACACCACTGCACCACGGTTGCATGACTTCATTGTCACAATCACTATGCTTCCAAAAAAAATTTAAATAAATTTCCCTAAAAGTTAGAATAGTTTTAAAGAACATTATTATAAACACAATGAGGCTGTAAAAGCGGACTAGTGAGTAGATGAGTTTACCTGTTCAGTGTGATGACGTTTATTGACACTGACAACTTCTGTAGTACCATTTAGCCACTTGTTAGCAGCTGCCTTTTTCAAGTAAAAGCTTTAAAAAACAAAAGGGGGTATTATTGATGTATTTTATGTCACATAATAAAACAAGAAAATATATTGAGCTTGTGTTAACCCCAGACCTAACAACCAGGCATTTAACTATTCAAAAAACCCATTGACTACAGGACGATGGAATTGGAAGTGCGAAAATGTGAACTAATTTCTGGGTTTTGGCCTAAAAAAAATTAATCAGCCCTGCAGCACTCTATACCTGAATCAGATTTACACACATTATGAATCCTCATATATAATTTTGGATGGAATCATTTGAGTAGTATTTATTTGTGGATGGAGTAATCTGGGCAAATGCACAATGTTCTTCTTCAATCTGGTTCTTCAATCCTCTGGTTTCTCTTGAATTGCAGTGGAGTATCTTATTATTCTCTCTATAAATTTGCCTCTCTTCCATTTTCCGTCCTCCCTCCCATTTTCTCTGTCTCTGTAGGGTGGTATGATTGCTCTTCTGTTGTCCATCCTGTGCTTGGTGTTGATCCTGTACACTCGTAGACGCTGGTGTAAACGTCGCCGTGTGCCTCAGCCACAAAAGAGCGCTAGTGCTGAAGCAGCCAATGAGATTCACTACATCCCCTCTGTGCTGATGGGTGGACAGGCCCGGGAAAGTTTGAGAAATTCGCGCGGGCAGGGTCACAATTCGAGTGGCACCCTCAGCATCCGTGAGACTCCGATCTTGGACGGGTACGAGTATGACATTACAGACCTACGCCACCACCTGCAGCGGGAGTGCATGAATGGCGGTGAGGACTTCACCAGTCAGGTGACACGTACGCTCGACTCACTTCAAGGGTGCAATGACAAAGCTGGCATGGATCTCACTCCAGGTATGTGAGCCCACAGCACACTGCACTGCATGAATGTAAAGATCTTTGAAAAACTCAGAGTCAAATGGATAGTTCACTAAACTAAACTAAAATAAATTAAAATAAAATAAAATGTATTTACTCACCCTAATGTTGTTCCAAATCTGTGAATGTGCACAGGCCGTTGTTTTCAATTAAATTTCATTGAATGAAGCTTTTAAGTAGTGGATTTTGATTCATCCCAGTAAATCGAGTCTTTTAAATCTTCACCAGTGATTTATTCATATTCACTGAGTCACCATTTCTTAGATGGCACACACTAGTGTTCGAAAGTTTGGAGTTGGTAGAATTTATTATTGTTATTATTTTTTTTAATGTTTTTGAAAGAAGTCTCTTCTGCTCACCAAGTCTTTATTTGGTCAAAAATACAGTAAAAGCAGTAATATTGTAAAATATTATTATAATTTAAAACAAATAATTTCTATTTTAGTATAGAAAATATATAAATATATAAATATAATATATATATAAATATGTTATATTTGTATAAGAATTGTATAATAATATTAATTATTATTTTAATTATTATATTTATTTCTGTAAAGGAAAAGCTGAATTTTCAGCAGCTGTTACTATAGTCTTCAGCATCACATGATCCTTCAGAAGTCATTCTATGCTTTTTTAGAATTATTTGATGAATAGAAAGTTCAAAAGAACAGCACTTATTTGAAATATAAATCTTTTGTAACGTTATGCATGTCTTTGCTGTCTCTTGCTGAGTAAAACAGGGCTTAAAGTTTTCCGGCAGGGTGCCGGATCGCCGGCGTGCAGCATTTGGCTGTGGAAAAAAAAAAACCCTACATTTAAAAAAAAACTTGTTGATATCCCTTTCGAGTCCATGAGTTCGCCTACCAGTGGTATGAGAGGAGCACAGCTTTCACTCTCAACCAAACTAACATTACTAGCCAATCATAATGTTTTGCTCTTATAAACACAAGACGCTCATAATAGTATCCGATTGCAGAGTCGCAGCCCTGATGAATGGAGAAGCGCGACAAAAAGCTGCAAGGTGCAATGGTCAAAGATGTCCATCTAGTGCATATTTACATAGAAAAACTCATTAAAAAGCAGTGGAGCTTTGTAAACAGCTCAAAGTAACCATGTCATCTCCATAAGAATGATATGATCGCCAGAACAAATTTACCGGGATATTTGAAAAGGTCCTGTTCACACATGATCTCTTAATGGTAACTTACCGGTAATTTACCAGTAAAGACTGTATGTGTGAAAGGGGCTGTACATACTGTACATACACATGTATGCTGGGAATTTGAATTGCTTAACGTTCAACGTTCATATTTCTAAATATGCCATTTATTGTACAAAATAAAAGTTTCTGAGTGTGCATGTGGCCAAATATTAAAATTGATTGGATTTGAACATTGCTTAATCACGCTGTAAAGTGAAACGTCACCAGGCCGTTGGCACCCTCTGCAGGTATTTGTTATAAAACATAATGTACTTAAGTTGGTTATGTTCATATTATGTATAGGCACAGGGCCGGCGCGAGCTCAACTGCCGTTCTAGGCAAAATCCTACAGTGCAGCCCCCACTTCACATTCACAATTAAACACGATCATTAAGATGCATGTGAAAGACTGGAGATTTTGTTTATTGGTACAACTGCATTAAAATAAAGCAGACACTGGCGTCTTTTATGATTATTATATATTTTTTCCTACTGCAGCATAAAAAAATATATAAAATAACCACTAGTAGGCTATAGCTGCAAAAGCAAATTAAGTGTAGGCTATGTACAGGCCTGAAGTGGCCATGGGAAGATTTGGGAGAATTTCCTGTAAGCAGCTCGACAAACGTTGTTCAGGACACAGAAATCGTTTGAACATTTTCACTAAAAGAGACATAGAATTCTCTTCAAGCCGTGCTCGTACAGCCTAAATCCCTATTCATAGTCAGGGTGTAATTTTAACAAGCTGGGTCAGGGTCCAGCACCTCCGATTTCCGATAACCTCATTTGGCGGATCCCCCTCCTCACGCACCATTGAAAGATTTTCGTGTCAGGGTTATTATAGGTTTGCATTTTTAAATTTGTTTTTATTTTAATATCGCTTTCAATTTTCTTTTATTGGTTTCATAAATAATTTTGTTCATTTTAGTTTATTTTTTATTTTGTGAACATATTTATAGCCTTAGTTTTTATACAGTTTAGTTTCAGTTTTAATTTTAGTTTTAGTAATTAAAGTTTAGCAGAATTAACAGAACACTTCCAGGGTGCAGACCGAAGACATTTTAATTTAAGCTTATTGACGCAAACCTCTAGCGATGCAAAATTAAAGCATGCTGAGATTGATTAGAAAACAATTATTTCTTTTTGATTATTATTTTTAGTTAGGTGTTCAATAACTGCTGTTGGTTTCGTTTTAGTTTTTCATTTATTTAATTTATTTATTCTTTCTCTAAATGCTTTTTAGTTAAATACAGTTCTTAATACAGCATATTTTACCGTTTAAACATGTATACAACATTTCTTACATTTAAACTCGTTTAACAAGCATTTTACAATTAAAAATGAAACATTTAATCGTTGCAAAAAGACTGATGCGGCTTGTTTAGGTGACTTGGTTTTCATAAAATAAAATGCTGTACAGCAAAGAAACTGTTTCATAGATTAAATAAAACATACACAAACCTATATTTGACCAAAGAAATGCTAGTCGGCGGCACTGAGAACTACACTTACCTGAAGAGAATGCAAAATATCTGCGCTCATTACAAACACTGGGTTGTTGCGACTCTCCTGTCCCAGGAGCTGGGTTACACAAAAACTACCCAAACACAAAAAATGTTTGCAATAAAATAACCATGATTTTTAGAGTATATGTGCATTCTATAAAAGCAACTGATGCAAGCTGGTAATCACTTAAGTGGGTCCACTAAATGATTGCGCACATTACCTCTCCATCCTCTGATCACTTGCCGGATCCGTCAACCCGCTTTATTCTGGGACCTCGCAATTTACAAATTAAACATTGTTCGTAGCGTTATAAATGATAAAGGCTAAATATCTAGGCTACCTGGCTAAAAAAAAAAAAAATACGGTTTTGCTCCAAAACCGTGTTTTTTTTTGGGGGATGTACGTGGATGTATCCACCTGTCTCCCCCACATTTTCTCTCACAGTAGGCTATAATCTTACCTTTCAGAAGCGCGTGTCGGGCTTTAAAACTCATCAGACATCACTAGTAGCAAAAGTCATTCATGTCCGGATAGTTTTATTCATTTTGATGACATTTATGGAAGTAGCCTACATGAGGGTGGTTTGCATGTGATATTGACGCCGCTCAGGTGGGGCACAGCGCGGGAGCGGCATTACTATGAAGCTGGCGTCCAGCTTAATAACTTGTTGATAACGTATAACTTGTTGATATGAGTGCAATAATTCCAAAGAATGCCCAAAAGATAAACTAAAATCTCTGTCCTTTTTGCCGCCCTAGTTCGCCTATATGCACACGCCGGCCCTGTGTAGGCATATTACATTATGTATTTTAACAGTGTTGTTCAATAAAACCATGTAATTACTTGGTTTTGATACTTTATTTGAGCCAACTATTATTGCCTCATCGTTAGTTTATATATAAATAGTCATACTAGCCTGGTTTTCACTTAGGTCTATTTGTGTTACTAAAAATATCAGATTACCCAATTGTCAAAATAATCAGTAAATTATTTGATTACCAAAACAATCATTAGTTACAGCCCTAGATTAGTTAAAATATTTCAAAATACAACGGCATTGTTTTACTTTTTGTAATTAAAAGACAAATATTTTGTCATTGAAAATTTCTTAAAAATAGTATTAAAATATTGTCTTGTTCTAGTTAACCAAATATCTGTATTTTGTCTCATCTCGTGAGCTAAGTGTATTGTCACACCCCTAGTGTCGATAAGCAGTGATATAGCTCATAATTTTCCAAATGTATGATAAAGCTTTCATTCTTCAGGTCAACCATATATTCAGATCCAAAATAAAAGTTTTTGTTTACATAATATATGTGTGTGTACTGTGTATATTTATTATGAATATATAAAGACACACACATACAACATATATTTAGAAAATGTTTATGTGTATACATTTATATTCATATATTCATATATAAATATATTTAATATATAAACGTAAAACATTTTTCTTAAATATACACATGCATGTGTGTGTGTTTATTTATACATAATACATTTACACAGTACGCACACATTATGTAAACAAAAACTTTTATTTGGGATGTGATTAATCGCAATGAATCGTTTGACAGCACTAGTTTAAAAAAAATGAATTAATTAGGAAGTCTTTATATGCTTTAACAAATCATTCACACAAGCATTCATGGCTTAGTAAACTGGATCAACTGATTTATTGAAAATATCTTATGCATGTGCCAAAGAGAGAGTGGATGTCATGATTTTCAATTACATCATTGACAATTATGCTTCAAGCTTTTTCTCACACAAAGCTATTCCTTCAGAAGACTTGGAATATATCACACAAGTCATATAAACCACTTTCATAATAATTCTTATGGTGCTTTTACATCTTCTAAATGTACATGCTTCATTGTCCATTTGTTGTAATTGCATGTAAAAGAGCAACCAGCAAAGACCAGCAACGTGCCTCCTTTTATGTTGTATGGAAGTAAGAAAGTCATACAACTTTGGAATGACATGAGAGGGAGTAAATTATATAATTTTATTTTTTGAGCGACATACCCTTTTAACATGCCCAACAATATTTGGGCTATAAAATTGTCAAAAAAACCTTAGACAGTAACCTTAATAATTTTAATAGCATGCTTTAATCATTCACTAAATTAATTCACACTCCTAATTCAGTGTTTTGATTTAGTGCCTAATTTCAGAGATATATAATCAACTTGGCAACCAGGCCTTGAATGCATAAATGAATGCACATGGTCAAAGCACGTTGACGTTCTTTCTACATTTAATTAAAATATTAATAATATAAAATAATAGCTACAAAAAAAAAAAAACTTCAGAAATAGATTCCCCCCCCCCCCCTTTTGTCATGTACGTTGGTTTATGCATATGCACAACGTGACACCAAATCTGTTTTTACACCCATGAACCGGTGAGATTTAAATTGCATGTGCTAAGCACATCATTTGCACATTGCTGGCCATGAAAATATTTATTTCACCTCGAGATCTCAAGAGTCAGCAGCAGAGCTCGCCTTTTCGATATGTGGCTGCGAGTGAGAAAGCCTGGGTTAAATGCGAGCTCCAGAAATTGGATAAAGCCTATATCAAAACAGCTGCAGAGAGGAAATCAACATGACATATTCATTTATTTAGCTAGCTAAAGCCATTTCCCCCAGAAAAAATATCAAAGTAATAATGCTATATATTCCTGCTAAGCAAAACTGCTTATTTGGCTGTCGGTTCACGGCACCCATGGCACCCATTTAAACTCTGCTATAGTCAATAATATAGGCAAGTCACATGACCAGACCTGAGTCTGTGCCAGATTGTCCGTGTATATTGGACACACAGAATTTGGAATGTGATGTGAAAGGATGTTGATGTTTGCCTTGAAGAGTAGCCCATTAAAAAATACCCCGAAAAAGCTTTGCAGGAGAGGAGCAATTTAATTCTGTCACAGTAATTTGCCTAATACAATAAAAACCCTGCAGTGCCAGTTGTCTTTGTTGTGCAATTTACTCATTATGAAGGGGCATACAAACTACAGGGGATGGCGATATTGCATAATGGTGAATGACGGAATGTCATATTCTGAATCGCTGGGCTGTGAAGGCTCTTAGTTGCTTCACTGTAACATAACCCTGAAAATACTTCACATAGACCACTTAGTGTTGTCCTTCTGAATGACACGCGTTTACATAAAGTGTCTCCACATGCCCTTGGTAGACTGTTATTTGGCACTCATCTGTCTACCTCTTTTCATCCCTAATTGTAACCTTTTTCCTTCAGGGAACGATAGTACAAAGCTGTCCCTGATGAGCAAGTACAAGGATAACATCATAGCTACCAGTCCTGTCAACAGCAACCACCAGCAAAACACGCTCCTCCCACACAACACCTCCACCAACCAGCGCAAGCGTCTGTCCAGCAAAACGCACGGTGAGTCTGGGTATCAGGGGTGAAACTGTTCCTGTAACCGGTTTGCCATCCACGGTTCGGTATATTGTTGTTTTGTTGTTTTATGTCATGTCTTTAATTTTAGTGTACTAAACTAGCTGATTAGCCTGCTAACTTAGCCTATATACTATTCAAGTCACTTATATTACACATAATTGCAGCAATCTTTACTGCAATTACACTACCATTTTTGTAAAAATACAGTAAAAACAATGCACCAATAAACCAAATTCTGTAATATTGTGATATAGTATTACAATTGAAAATAACTATATTCTATTTTAATACATTTTAAAAAGTACTGATTCCAATGAAAGCAAAGCTGATTTTTCAGCAGTCATTACTCCAGTCTTCAGTGTCACATGATCCTTCAGAAATCATTCTAATATGCTGATTTGGTGCTCAAGAAACATTTAGAAATAAAACAGTTAAAACAGTTGTGCTGCTTATATTTTTTGTGTGAAAACTGTGATAATTTTTCAGGAATCTTTGATGAATACAAAGCTTACACAGCACGCAGCATTTATTTGAAATATATATATATTTTTGTAACATAAATGTCTGTACTGTCATTTTTGCAATTTATGCATTCTTGCTGAACAAAAGTATTAATTTTCATTTTTCTTTTTATTGGCATTAATCGAACTGTACAGAAACTGTGACCACAGAACCATAATAAAGACCCAACCGTGAGAAATCTGAGCCATTACACCCCCGCTGAATATCCCCTTCCATCCACACAGATCTCATTCCAACCACGTCTATCTCTGTAATCATAACCACACACAAATATTTGTCTTCCACTCTCTTTGCTATCCCATTGCTGGTTTGATCAGGCCACCAAAAACTATGATTTGATGAGGTGTTCATATGCTTTTGAGGTGTACTTTTGATATTGGTTGTTGGTGGTGGTTTTTAGGGAAACATGCCTATAGATATCTACTATAAAAGACAAATTCCTTTCTCTTAGATTTACTTTGAGCACTATTAGCAGATGTCCAGTGAAGTGTTTTCCTTGAGCAAGAATCTGATTTCCTAGCTGGGCAAATATTTGACTCTCTGCTCATGCTTTAATGCTTCATTACCTCAGTCCAGCAGATGTACACGGCCTCTCTCTGACCTTCAGACTAGCCTTTTTTAATACCCAATGCACTTGGATTGTGCATTCACTGCATATAAATATAAAAATGTAAAGGTGCACTCAGGAATTCTTGCCTCATTAAAAAGCTTTACAGAAATGAATAGAAACAAAATGTTTAAAAGTTTGCACTCCCATGAAGACTTCAGTCCTATCTAATAAAGTTAGTCTTAGAGTGTGTGAGATCACATGATCAGTCGAATGCTACTCACTTTATCTCAGATTTTTCTCTCTCATTATAGGACACTTTCACAGCCTACATACAGTAATAAAGTACTCATGGCACAGTACATTTTATGCTCACCCAGGCTGCATTTATTTGACCAAAAATACTGAAATATTGTGCAATATTATTACAATTTAAAATATTTTAATTTTCTATTTAGATATATTTTAAAATTTAATTTATTCCTTTAATGGCAAAGCTTAATTTTCAGAAAATCATTCTAACATGCTGATTTGGTGCCCAATTTATATATATATATATATATATATA